TCTGAGCTGGGAGCGTACGTAGCTGATGACGGTGATGTTGCACTTGATCTCAATGTCCTCGCGCAGGTAAAGGCCGTCGGCGGGGACGCCGAGGTCGGCGAGGCCAATCTCGGCGTGGACGGGAGGCTCGATGCCGGGCTGGTTGCCCTCGATGCGGTACTTGATGCGGATGTCGACATTCATGGGCGCGTACGTGTGCGTCTGCAGGCCCCAGGGCATGTCGTGAAAGCAGCCATTGAACTTGATCTTGCCAGAGCCCATCTTGCCGAGGCCGGGCACCCACTGCATGCGCTCGGTAATCTCATACCACGTCGAGTAGTACTCGTCCGAGGCGGCATCGCGAGGCGCCTGGATGGGCTTGTGGTCGATCACGAGGGGGTTGAGAGTGATGACTTCGGAGTGGGAGTGGAGGATGTCGATGGCGAGCTGTCGGGGGATGAAGCCCGGTATGGGCGTGATGGTCGTGTAGACCTCTTTCTTGCGAAGCATGGCGGACATTCGTCGCCGTCGTCAGTCGTCAGTCGTGTCGCAGTCGTGTCGCAGTCGTGTCGTCAGTAAACCGTGCCGTCACCGTCAATCGGGTCGTCAGTCAATCGTCTCGTCGCCGTCAATCGTGGATCGTCGGATGCTTTATTCAGTGGAGAAGATGTCGCGATGATGGGATGAACGTGGTTCCTGTGCAGATGGCCAACGAAGCTGCAGAGATGGCGGCACACAGATCAAGACTGAACAGCAACGCTGCTTGAGGTGAAGCAATGGACAAAGGGAATAGGAACAAAAAAAGAGAGCTGACGCCGGTGCTGACGGATGGCCCCTCGTCAGCTTGCGCAGCCGCTGCCCATCTGCCCCTCCCGCCGAGCCCTGCGTTGGCAGGCGGCGTCACAGGAGCTGCTGCCGCTGCCCGGCCAGCTCAGCCCAACGCACTGGCCGTCTCTGTGGTGGGGTGTACAAAGGGAAGGTACCTTTACCTGCCGACCTCCTCAGGGACCTAGACGCTGCACAATGATCACTGAACACTTCCCCAGAGCCCTGGGGCTCGGGCGCCCTCCCAGGGCTCAGTCTTCTGTTCTCACTTCTCACGTCATCACAGCCCCCCGGCCCACGATGATCCGTTCCGGGACGCTGGTTCCGTGCCCATCGCTTCGGCAGTGCCAGCCAATGGATGCATGCCGCTCGCATTGTCGCCCCCTCCGAAGGCCAGGGGCGCACATGGGTTTCTCATTTCAGTGCCCTGTCATGCCTGTGCATCTCCACCGCGTCTCTGTTTGAGGGCAAGGATTGCAGTGCGGTCCAACGTTGACGTGGACAGTGCTCTGTGCCTCTCGCTTTTACGTTGCGCAAAGTCTTATGACATGACAGACTACCTTGTGAAGATCAGACGGCACTCTTCTTATGTATGCTTACTGACAGGTGGTTCCTGTTGTTTCAAATCGTCGGGTTCGCCGTTGATCGCTGTGTCGTTCCTTGGACAGAGCACCATTTCGAGGTGAAACAAGGTGCGCCCCGGTGTAGGATCGGACCAGATCCAGTTGGGCAGACGGGAGACACGATCTTGATCCTTTGTTCTCATGGCCTGCTTCTCCCAGATAAATACCTCCCGGGGTCACAACACCACCAGGAAAGATAGATTTGGAGGTAACACAAAGTGGGAGCAGCCAATCTGATTCTTTTTGTCGGGGTTTCCTTTTTTCTGTGTTATGAAATTGTTTTCCTTGACGCTGTCAGCGAAAGAGATCAGCACTCGCTGTCGGCAGCATGTGCTTTTTTGGCTACAATTACTGGTAGGTTGCATTGGTGACCCTCGATCGGAGTAGTAACAAGTCATTCCAAATTCTGTCAAAAAAGAAGGTTTTAGCACTAGCTTTTGACTTTGATCATAGAGTCATACTTTTGCAACCTCTTCATTGGGCATAGCCTTGTACCTTCGAATCGAATGCTGGATAGCGAGCACGACAGGTTGGATATGATGATCAGAAAGTTATTAGTCCCCATCTGGAACTTGATTAGTCCAGGAATGATGTGGATCTCCAACTGAACTGTAAGAAGGTTGGTTACGCTCTGCTATCAGCTTAAGTTATGTTTGTCGCCGAATA